AGAGATCATTAACAAATAAATTAAACAAAATAGGACTAAGTGGTTCACCTTGTGGAAGCCCTTTATTAGCAGTTACCGCCTCCGAAAAACAATGATTAACTTCAATTTGATAAGTGGTATTCGAAAACAATTGTCTTATAAGATTAATAAAAGATGATGACATACCTATCCGAGAAAGCTTCGACCATAAAATATCATGATCTATTGCATCAAACGCCTTTGACAAATCAATAAATCCAACATATAATTTTCTTCGCTTCTTAGTCAAAATTAATTGCAAAATTCCAAAAAATATAAATAGATTATAACCAACACCTCTATTCACTACAAAAGCTCCTTGACCAATGGAAATAGTATGAGACCGCTCAAGCCAAAGACGCAAACGATTAGCCAATAACGTAGAAAAAATTTTCCTAATTACACTAATTAGCGATATCGGACGGTAATTCATAGGATCAAACCGATTACCCTTCTTATATATCATTTTTAAACAAATATTTTTCCAAGTAATGGGAAAAGAATAATTAGTTTTAAAATTATTAAATGTATGTAACAAATCATTTAAAATATTAGTCGGAAGAAATTTAATCATCTCAGCCTTAATTGCATCTAGTCCAGGGGCTTTATTATTTTTTAAAGATCTTACCACAAATTGTAATTCATCAAATGAAAAATTATCATCGAGTAATGGATCCGTATTAACATTAGTACAAATAGACAGTATAACTGAAGGTGGTCCAGAAAAAAACTTTCTCAAATAATCCGACCAATCACAGATAGAGATGTTATTATACACAACTTTGCCATTTCTAAATTTATTAACAATTTTTCAAAATTCAGAAGAGTTTTTATTATGTGGTTTCATTATCAAAAGACCGGTTAGAGCTACTTCCGCTTAGTTTTAGTACAAGAGGAGAAGAAGAAAAAAAAAATAGTAATTTAATCTAAAATAATAAAAAGTCAGTCGTATATAATTACCTCACAAGCCTTCAAAATATATAATGTATATAAATAAATATATATTTATATATATTTTTTATTATAAAATTGTATATCGACATTGACACTTGCGTGTTCTACTCCAAGAGGATGCACGATTCCAACTGGCAACGACAAGAGCATCAAAAACGACTCCAGCGCACCTAACGGTAACTTAACTAAATTAGAAAATGATATCGGCAAATTTTCTTAGAAAGGAACTGAATTTTAAATAAAATTATCACAAAAAATTAAACGATAAAATTAGAAAACTCTACAAATTAAAAATACTAAATGAAAAAACAATTATAATTCATTTATTTCTTTCGTTATATAATATTAAACGAGTGTTTTTTAAAGCGCGTAATTATAAATGTATAAATCAATGTTTTTAAATTTTATTATTAGAAAATCTGACAATTAAGTTAATTAATTTATATAATAAAAAAATTTTACTTTAATTAATTAATTAATTAAAATAATAAACCTGCTTCGAGTATTGTATATCGCGTCATAGATATATTTAACATTGTTTACCTTTTATATAATTAATTATTTAAATATTATGTGTATATATTATATATATATATATATATATATAAACAGTATTAATATTTTATAATTTTGTCAGATAGATGTTCTACTGAGAATAATCTTGATTATTAAACTTCCCGGAAATGTAGATATCCGGTGACTGACCTCCTTGATATAATTTTTTTGATATATGTAAAATACTTTCTACAGATAAAAATAAAATTTTAATTTTTTTATATGCTAGGAAGGTGAATATTATTTTGTTTGGAAAGTACTAAGGTATTTACCAATTGGAATTTTCTATAAATAAAACTTATGTTTAACACTCCTCCATCACTCTCTTTCTCCCTTCTATCCATATACATATATAGAGTTTATGTAAAAAATTGTATCGTTTCTTAAAAATAAAGTGCTTTTCTTCAAAAAAAAAAACAATTTCTATTTTTAATAAGCATCATTAACTTAACTTAACTTTTAATACATCATTAGGAAGTATTTTAAACGAACTACTGTATTTCTAGGTCAGTTTGTTTACAGCACTTTTAAAGTCGGTAATAAAATTATTTGCTGAGAAATAATAGTTTCTATATATTTTTCAAGATCTTTAAACTGTTTACACAAACTTCACAAAAAGATTTGAAGGTTTTAAATTATAAATATTCGACTTAATAAGAGAAAATAAATTCTTCTTATACTTCTTGATACGTATCCTCTTATAGTTTGAACAGTTTTATTCGTTTTTTTTTTTTTATTGTATTTTATACAAAAATAAAATTTCTGATAATTTTGAAATAACAAAATTAATTAACTTACTCCCTTTTCTTTTTAATAATAATATGTAAAATGAGTTATTAGCGTATAGAGTGATATAAAATAAATACACGATAATTAAAATATTTTGTAAATATTTTAGTGATCGATGACAGATGATCTGTTTATGTTTATGTCAAATTGACCTTCATCATTAATTAATGGATTTTAAAATGTAGAATTTTAATGTTTGTAAATTCTTTTATAATAATAAGCTAATAAAATAAAAAAGTTTATACTTTAGAAACTTTAAATGAAAGTTGTAAATGATTAAAAAGTTAGTTTACTTACGTAAGTTATCATTGGTATCTTCCAAGCACTGGCAACAGCTGCCTCACATGCACAGTTATGATCAGGACCGATAAATCCTACAACACCTTTTTCTTTAAGTTCTGTCATTCTTCGAATGGCAGTTACAGAATCGATATCACCTGTATTACAGATTTCATAACTTAAAGTATGATTAGGAAGAATCTTTCCGTCGGAGTTAATTTTATCGACTGCATACGGTATGGCACCAGCGATTAATTTAGCGATGCCACCTTCGTATGAAAAAGTACCCAAAAATCCGATAATTATGTTAGGTTTTGTATCGTTTCCGTTGATTTCTATATTGTTTCTATTGTTTTCTACGTGTTTGTTACATACTGTGGTGGAGCGAACGCATGATGATTGACCATGTAAATCTGCTGTCACCTGGCNATTAATAAAATTTATAAGTCAATAACCCCAGCGAATAAAAATTACTTGCACGTTTTGTTCCTTAGACCTCTGCTATGTTTACAGTTATTATTGGTTGTATGATTGGTATAAGCAATCGTTTATAAAGAGAAACCTTGACATCAGCCGAGAAGTTAGTTATATTTAGTACTAATGACAGATAGTTTCAGTGATGTATACCAGATTGCATAATTTACACCATTTAAAGTTGAATTTTTACACTATATTAGTTAGTAAAATTAACAAATTAAGTAAAATTTCTGTTAAAAAAGTATATTTTGTTAATTTCATAATTAAATTAAACAGTTTATGTTATAAATAATAATTATTTTTTGTTACATACTGTGGTGGAGCGAACGCATGATGATTGACCATGTAAATCTGCTGTCACCTGGCAAGTCATCCATATTATCAAGGAGGTTATCACTAATCCCACCATGAGTCTTGGCGAAGTGTTTCAGTAACTCACTTTCATTGTTCTAAATCGTATAAACTGATTTTCTGACATATTTAGTAAACTACAGTTTATAATTGTATAGATATAAAGTATATATTCTACTTAATATGGTTCGAATGAAATATTTTATAGTGTTATTGCTGTATCTTGTTACTGTAGCAGTATTGTGCATTTAATTCGCCTTCATTAATAAACAGAATTATTTAGTATCAGAAGGGGCGTAACCCATCGATTCATTCAAATTTAACCATCAAATAAAAATTCCAAAAATTCGGCCACAACAAAAACATTCAAAATGCATTATTTTTATTAAAATTTGTTTTCAGGAATTCATTCAAATCTTGAATTTATTCGAGACTTCTTGAGTTATTTTCGAACAATTTTCTACATAATTTCGTTACGGTATAAAATAGGGCTAAATGATTTCTTAAAAAATAATTCAGAAAATAAATTAAAAGAATTAAGTCTATAAAAGAAATAATTAAATTAAAATAAATTAATTTTTTACAACAAAATTAATCAATTAACATGTAACAATATTGTCTCTGTTCTTTCTTTTCCAAATTTAAAATATTAACAAATTAAATAAGAATCATTTAAGATAAATAATTTTATATAATTTTAATATTATTAATAAGAAAAAGAACATTTTAAAATTTAGAAACTGATGAAGAATTAAAAATCTGAATTTATCATTTTGTAATAAGATATTTATTATATTAATTATAATGTTATGTTATTAAATGTATTATTTAAACTTTTAATTATTAATTTCTGTATAGGAAATCTTTCCACATTACTTATAATAAAATTTAGACGTTCCAATTAATGAAAAGATTAAAGTTGAATGCACTCATAAAGACTGTATTTTTGAATATATAGGCTCTAATATATTATTTATATAGATTTTTAAGAGTTTATTTATTATTTAAATCATCTACTTTACATAATTTAANATTATGTTTGTCTTGGAAGTTGAAACTTGATGAGTGCTTTTGCCCGTAAAAATTATCAACATTTTTATATTTTGCTGAAATAAGCTTAAATAAAGTAGAATATTTTGAAAATTTTATAAAATATGGTGATATTTTCAGATAAATATATCTTTTTAAACGGGAACACAGCTTGATACGCACTGATTCTTCAGACATGTAATCCTTATTGGAATCTCAAGTTAGAATTCATTATTCATATGAAGGGAATTTGTATCGTGACATAATAGAGTTGAAAGAAAGTTATATCTTTTAAAGTACAAAAAGAGAAAACAAAATATTGAGTCATATCCATATTTGAAATAAATAACTTTTACTTAAAAATAAAAGAAAATTGTATTTTAATGATTACTTGAACTTAAGATTTAAGTATCTTTCTCTCATTTACTGGTATTTAATATAATAAAAATTAAGGTTAAAATTAAATAACAATTACGTTTACGAAATATTTATCAAGAAAATCTGATATTTTTAATAATAAAAAAGAAAAAATAGAGAAAATGCTCAGCTACTCATTCATTTATAACCTTTTTAAGTGAATTTTGAGATGTGATAAAGGATTCATTTGTTCCTTTGATCCAAAGGATCCTTTGTCCCTAATATTGCAAATCTAAATGTATACATTCAAAAAAAGGGACGTGTATATAGTATTTTATAAATATTCTTATATAAAATATTGCAGCTACAATAATTCTTTTTCTAAGCTTTTTACCTAAAATTTTCATTTTGAGATTCACCACCTTTCTTTATTCCAAAAATAGTAAATGCAAGCATTAGCATATACATTTTTTGTAATAATGTTAAATTCATTAAATTTTAACATTTTTAAACTTAAGTGTGATTTCTTAAGTACAGTATATCATTATAGATATATAAAGCAATGGAGAGAGGAGGATTTACACGTAAGCTAAAGTGTCACTCTCTCGACCAACGGTGCTCAAACTTTTCGATTGGTGGACCAAACTTCGTATAAGACGTAGTTAGACAGGACACAAGAATTTTGTAAATTATATACATACTAAAAGGTCTATTTCTAGCATTTATAAGTAATGTGTCACATACGTTTTCGATCCTAGACTATAAGCTTGGATCTCATAGTTTTGGGGATACTTAGTTTAGACTTTAGACCCTCGCGCTATTAAATTTATTACTATTTTAAGCATCTTGTCTCTAAGGATAAAAATTATTTTAAGCGACTTTTTAAATGCAAATAAAACAGACAAAACGTTTCGGTAAAGTTGTGAATATGTCAGATAAAATGCAATGTCTTTATATAAAGTTGCAGAATTAGTAGCAGTAAAGTTAAAATCACGGATTATAGCCGACTCATTAATTTTACCAATACGTGTAAAATAGTCAATAGAATGTTTGGTGAAGAAGTGAGAAAAAAAATAATAAATATTCTTCTTATATATATCAATCAATTCAATCAATTATCAATCAATCAATCAATCAATCAACATTTATTTGTTATGGCTTTCGCCTTTACAAAGGGGTTACAAGATCTTGTAACATTGACAAATACAAACATTGTTATACATGGTTTCAAAGATATTAAAGCTAAATTAATAATGTTATGTTAACATGTTAAATAAATAACAGAAAAATTTATTCTTGAATTTGTAAATAAATAATAAGAAAATAAGATATAAAAATGAAAATATTGAAGACGTAGTCATGACCTTGTTCCTTGATTTTTCATCCTCTAATGGAATTTTTAACATTTCTGGAAATTGTAACAGACTCCAATAAGTAATGGTAGCAGTTTTTGTTCTAAATTTAGCACAATTTAACAATTTTACTTTACAACTTCCTTCTTTTCTATGTGATAAATGTAATTGCTTCCAATTTAAAAGCTAAATTACAAATTAAATATAGAAAATTTTATTCAATCAAATAAAACATCGAAATGTATCTTCAAGACAATATTTATAAATTTAAATACATGTATTCTTATAAATACTTTCAATAAATTTGTTTATTTGTTTCGAATTAAATTGTTTTTAAGAAAATGTTTAATAAATTTATTAATTTCTTTAGTTATAAACCTAATAAATCACATGTTACTATTTTAATTTTAAGGAAATAATGTCAGTAATAAATATAAACAGAATTTCTTAGTAAATTATTGAAACCCACACGACTTTATGAAGACACGTGGCGTCAGTAGGAGGGTAGAAAATATATACATCCTGTATCAACATAAGGTAAATTATAGGTTCGAGATGTATTTTATTATGAATAAGTTCATATATTATTAATAAATACATTAAAAATTTAAAAAAAAAACATATATATATCTAAACTTTAATATATAAAATATTATTAAGTAAATTATCATTTATAAATAATTTTAGAAAAATAAATTAAAAACGAACATTCAACCGAATAGGAATATTTTAACATTGTTTTTGTAGAAAATTTAATTAAATATTTTAAAATGTATAACAGCTTATAAGAATCTTTTGAATGTTAATGTTTTGCACATTTTTACTTTTTACTGTGATATTAAAAATTAATTTTTCATGGCAATTAATTTTTTATTATGTTTGTCTTGGAAGTTGAAACTTGATGAGTGCTTTTGCCCGTAAAAATTATCAACATTTTTATATTTTGCTGAAATAAGCTTAAATAAAGTAGAATATTTTGAAAATTTTATAAAATATGGTGATATTTTCAGATAAATATATCTTTTTAAACGGGAACACAGCTTGATACGCACTGATTCTTCAGACATGTAATCCTTATTGGAATCTCAAGTTAGAATTCATTATTCATATGAAGGGAATTTGTATCGTGACATAATAGAGTTGAAAGAAAGTTATATCTTTTAAAGTACAAAAAGAGAAAACAAAATATTGAGTCATATCCATATTTGAAATAAATAACTTTTACTTAAAAATAAAAGAAAATTGTATTTTAATGATTACTTGAACTTAAGATTTAAGTATCTTTCTCTCATTTACTGGTATTTAATATAATAAAAATTAAGGTTAAAATTAAATAACAATTACGTTTACGAAATATTTATCAAGAAAATCTGATATTTTTAATAATAAAAAAGAAAAAATAGAGAAAATGCTCAGCTACTCATTCATTTATAACCTTTTTAAGTGAATTTTGAGATGTGATAAAGGATTCATTTGTTCCTTTGATCCAAAGGATCCTTTGTCCCTAATATTGCAAATATAAATGTATACATTCAAAAAAAGGGACGTGTATATAGTATTTTATAAATATTCTTATATAAAATATTGCAGCTACAATAATTCTTTTTCTAAGCTTTTTACCTAAAATTTTCATTTTGAGATTCACCACCTTTCTTTATTCCAAAAATAGTAAATGCAAGCATTAGCATATACATTTTTTGTAATAATGTTAAATTCATTAAATTTTAACATTTTTAAACTTAAGTGTGATTTCTTAAGTACAGTATATCATTATAGATATATAAAGCAATGGAGAGAGGAGGATTTACACGTAAGCTAAAGTGTCACTCTCTCGACCAACGGTGCTCAAACTTTTCGATTGGTGGACCAAACTTCGTATAAGACGTAGTTAGACAGGACACAAGAATTTTGTAAATTATATACATACTAAAAGGTCTATTTCTAGCATTTATAAGTAATGTGTCACATACGTTTTCGATCCTAGACTATAAGCTTGGATCTCATAGTTTTGGGGATACTTAGTTTAGACTTTAGACCCTCGCGCTATTAAATTTATTACTATTTTAAGCATCTTGTCTCTAAGGATAAAAATTATTTTAAGCGACTTTTTAAATGCAAATAAAACAGACAAAACGTTTCGGTAAAGTTGTGAATATGTCAGATAAAATGCAATGTCTTTATATAAAGTTGCAGAATTAGTAGCAGTAAAGTTAAAATCACGGATTATAGCCGACTCATTAATTTTACCAATACGTGTAAAATAGTCAATAGAATGTTTGGTGAAGAAGTGAGAAAAAAAATAATAAATATTCTTCTTATATATATCAATCAATTCA